CTCTGGACCTGTCAGTGATGCCCTGTTGATGCATGACAAGGTGCAGCTGGCTCTGCCTATTGCTTCGTTGCATTAGCGACTCATATTCATCCTGGAGTCAGTCCTGACTCCAAGATCCCTCTCTGCCTCTGTGCTGCTGAGAGGGTCAGCCCCTAACCTATAACCATAATGCTGGTTCCCTCTCCCCAGGTGCAGCACCCTGCACTTGTCCTTGTTGAACCACATCCTGTTCAGATCCACCCACTTCTTCAACCTATCCAGGTCTGCCTGGATGCGGTCCCTGCCTGCCAGTGTAATACAGTGTAGTCACCATAATGCTACAAGGTTCAACATCTACCAGAGGCAAAATATAATTCAGTGCTTTTTGCATCATTCAGTAGAGACCAACATGTCATCTTACCAGTGCACTGCTATAGATCGGTCTGGCTCTACAAAAGCTAGACCAATCTTCTGTCTAGGTATTTATATGGCTCCTATCAACAGAGCATCTAAATTTTGTTGGTTATGGCATACACCTATTTATCAAGGTAAGTTGGCATTTTTAACTCATAACTGTGTAAGTGACAAAGTAGTATCTCATAAAGCTTTTCATCAAGCAGTTAAAACTAAAAGATAAAACAAAAATGTACAATCATCCTGGACTATTTTACATTATAAGAAAACTGTCTGAAAGGAAAGCGGTACATTTAAAAACTAAACAACCAGTAACAAGTACTTTTTTCTCATTAAATGTGGACAAACAGAATGCATTTTGAGATTGAATTATGTCATGTCAAATACTGGATGCAGCTCAAGCAACACATGGAGGAAGCAAAACAATACTTACCAATCCGCCAGTTCCTTTCTTTGGCTTCATTGTAAAATTGATGCAGCACAAGGAAGTCAATAACATCTGGCATATCGTGGTACCTATTCAAAATAGGCATATATATTACTCCTAAATGAAGTGCTATTTGCACTGGACATGGTTGTAATATGAGTATGTAGGCAAACTTTTCAGTTTTAAAGATACTATTTCAAGTTCTTTGCAGCGATGATGAGTCTGTACATGAAGAAGTCTATTGCAAAATTAGAAAAGAATGCATGTCTAGACTAACTGTAAGAACATTCTGCTTTTTTCAGGAAATACTTTAGCCAGTCAGTTACTCACTTAATGGAAAAAGATTCTCCAGTCATTTTCCCTGTGATTGGATCTAGAAATGCAAGCTTCAAGCAGCAGAGCGTTGGAGGCCCAACTTCATATTTAATTCCTACAGTCTTCACAAATTCTTGTTCCTAATTCAACACAGAGTAAGGCAAGATGTTTCTTATTTTTAAAAAAAAATCTTATAAATTAACAAGATTTTACTGTTGCTAGAATCAGTAAGTACTTATAATTGTAACAGGATTTTATTTCCTAGAAAGAGAAAAATAGATCCTTCAAAATTGTGGATATGGCTACATATCAGATTCATTTTTCCATTTTTCTTTGTCTTTGGATAAAAATGTATAGAAAAGCAGCAATAAAATGAGACAATGCCATGGATTAAGAACTGTGCTGCAGTTAATGCAACAATTTATGGCAAAGTGCAAGGACAGGGAAAAAAAGAAAAAAAAAAACAATCACTGCAAAAACCAGTAAAACTACACAACTCCAGGAACTGAATCATTGTTAGATAACATAATTTTATATTATACAATAGTTGTAGAAAAACAACAGATTGCAAAAACTTATGAAAACTAGCTTTACCTATGTAAGCAGCTCTATTGCTTTTCTGGGACAGTGTATAAGTTTTAAAGTATCTGCAAAACTGGATGCTTATTTGTTACTATCCGGTTTTGAAACTAGTGACTAATAGCTCAGTTCCTTGTAAGAACTGACATGTTCTTAAGCACAGTTAGTTCAATAGGACTGAATTCAAGACAAGGGGTAAAAACAGATATCCCATCCCAGTCTGATTGTCTTAGGCTTTGACCTACATCAAACAATTCATTGTCCCATCACCTACATATGCAGCTTGAATGGCAATTAATTTGTATTAGCTGGGATTGTCCCTGGAAAAAGTGTTCTCTCAGATGCTTTACAGGTACTTATAGTGGGACACTGAGCCTGTACATTTGTAATATCCTCAGCTTTGTGCAGAGAAATCCATCTGTTTTTACATTTACATTTAACATTTGAAATTAGCAACATCCACTTCTGTTAGGGAAGAATACCACACTAGTGAACGTCTTTCAACTTCCTTCTAAGTTCCTACTATCAGTCACTTAATTGCTAGTATCTTTTATAAACAAGGAAGTCTTTACAACTGTAACATTTGCTAATGAACATTTAAAACATTCTTCTCTCTCATTGCTTTTAATTTTTAAATTGTCTTTTAATGTGATTTACAGTAATTTACAGATTTGGTTAACTTACCCTGAGTTCCATTTTGTTCCATGGTTGCTTTTGCATGTTAATACTGTAGATTTTGGCCTTCCTTACTGCACGCACATAAGCTTCATGGCCTTGCCTAAAGTATATGATCTTAAAAGAAAAAATAATGTATTGCATGCTAATCTTGGAGTTAATTCCTATTATAAAAATCTCCATAAACATTTCAAATATCATCCCTTTTAAACTCCACAGGATTGTTCCAAAGATGTTGAAAAACACTCCTCTTCCTGATTTTTAACAGCACAAGCTCTATTTAGGCACCCAAGAAAGTGACAGACATGGACTTCTGAAATTGGAATCATAAAGGGAAATATGTGCACACATATAGATAGATGTATACAGGTGGGGAGAGGGGGAAGAATGATTTCTTTTTCCCTTGAGATCCATAATGTCAACAGGCTGTCTACGTGTGTAGAAAAAGAAGCACTAGCAGCAGTGTATTCATTTTCTGCAAAAACAGAACATGGGCTATTTTGAACATGGTTCACTATAACCAACTCCCTGATTTAATGGTTTTATTTTGCAACAATTTTAAATCTGACATAACTAGGAACACAAAGGATGCTACAACAATACCTCATCTCCCATCTGTGGGACAAAGGGTGAACGACGGGGTATGGTATCCAAAATCCACTGGGGGGCAAGCCACTCTTCACTGGGTTCACCTTCCATCGAGAGTAATCCACTTGGTTTCTTAAATTACATTAAATTTAGAACAGAAGGGTTATGTATGAGCATAATATGAGTTACTCCTTACAAAGGAGAATTAATTAAATATTAAGACCAGAGAAAATGCTGAAATAACTTATTTCATGTTTTAAAGGTTGATATCTTTGTTTCTCACTAACCAGTATAATGGCAGCCTAAGGAAGAAACTCAAATTTTGAATATGCATATAAAAACTTAAAAACCTGTTAAGCATCTGCTTTGAAAAAAAGAAAACCCTTGAAGGTAAAGGTAAAAATACGGGACTTATATAACTGTTTTACAGCCACTTCTTTGTTTGCCAGAAAAAGTCTAAGTGAATGCTAACCACACATTTCTTTTCTACCGCTTCACTCAAAGATTTATGTAAAACTATCCTTAAAATGGCAATCTAGAAAATCCTCAGTTTAGAGCCATTTTTGTCCTCTATCAGCTATATCAAGTCATCATTCCTACCTCCTATCCAAATCCTTGGGCTGACTGGGAAATGAACTGGCCCCCAGTACACATTAAAACAGATTAAGGAGTACTCTATCTTAACTCTAGTTGGTAATGGCTCCAAGGAACATTGGACTAGTAAAGACCGCTGAGCACAAGTTCCTGCCCTGCTGTCTTCATTCTTCAAAATACTTCCTGTATTAACCAAGGAATTTTTCAGACAAAAGAACTATCACATGGCCCAGTTATTTAGAAAGGTGTCAGACCTGGTTCATAGAAAGTAAATATCATGTTCCCCCTCATTAAGCCCTTTGAAAAGAGATGACTCTGCAACATCCTAATTCATAAGAACACAGATGTATCAAAACTAGCATATCTACTTTACAGGCCTTGTACAGATGTTTATTTCTATTGTTAAGAAATTCTTACCTGTAGAAAAATAGACCAAGAGCTAGAATGCACACTCATTCCAGCTCCATGGCTGGACAGCTTCATAGGCAAGCTCTCCAGCCAGGGAGCACTAGAGGGTTGCTCCCTGGGCCACCCCTGCCCTTAGGGATGCCCATTACATTGACAGCCTATCCTTTCTTCTGCCTGGGAAGAGGACAGGCTTTCAAGTGGTAGTTGGCAGCTGCTGGAAAGTGTGGAACAGCATAGGACAAAGGTGGGGACATTCTGCCACAGCAAGGAGTGTTCATGCTGGAGAAAAATGCACCCCTCTGATGCCAATCAGCTGACTGGCAGAAAAGTGCTTAATTTTTCAGAACAGGGACCCCACGGGAACAGCTGATTCCTAAGTAGGTTACCAGGGAACCAGTATTCTCTCTCCCCACCCCTCTTCCTTGGAGGGAAAGCAGAGAACTCTGGGGTATCAGGTATTCTCCTCACCCAAGAGAAATGTACAGGCTTTCAATTTAGATTGGGAGAAGGAAACTACTCCTCATAGGTACAAGATCTAACTTTTTGCAGAAAAGCCAGTTCTCTTCCATAAGAAATTTCTTAAAGGTTTGTACAGCTCTCTGTCTGTGCGGAGAAAGAGGCTTCTCTCCCATGACATATGTAACGCTTACACATGGCCACAATAGCATAAGAAAACTAAATGCTCAAAATCTTACTCTGCTTTCAAATAAATTGTGATTATTGTGTTATCTCCCAGGCATCTTTCTTTTGTATAGTTGTTACTGGAATTTACTTTGAAGACATAACCATTTTATGAAATAGTTAAACCCACAGAGACAGAAAGATCAACATGGGAGAAAGAGGGGAGAGGAAAAAAAGGGCTTATTTACCTTTTTTCTAGGCTGTTTGGGTTTCCTCCTTTTCTCTTCCACTCCTTTAGACTCCTTGATATTTTCATCATCAGAGCTGCTACAAATTTTGCGAGCTGCCTGTCTGGTTTGTCTTTTTGGAGGCTGAAGATTAATTCCAGCATCTGCTGTCCAGTCAGAATATTCACTTGATGAATCACTGCAAATAAGAAAAAGTAAATAACTGAAGAAAAGGATGCAGAAAACACAAAGCCCAATGCACATACAACCTTGTCTTTTGCATATCATTAAGGTCCAATATTGTAAATTGCTCCTTGCAGAGAAATTCCTTTGACCATATACAGCACGTTTTGCAGGATCAAAGGAGTATGGATATGGAGGAGTATCTTGGGGCCAAAAAGGCTATGAACCACTAATTCAGCTGATCCAGGATATCATCTTGCTATGCCTTGCTGTTTCCACACTGTTAGCCCCAGTTTGTACAGGAGAGGGCAAGGGCAGCCCCGGCTGCCAAGGCTGTTCTTGCAGGGTCTTACATGCCAGTGACCATCTGGATCCTCAGCCCCTCTTTCCACATCTGCCCTCCTGTCTGCAGCAGAGCATACTACTGGGAGTGTGGGGGTAGCCACCACAGGGGCTGCTGGAGGGTGTGGGAAGGTCAACAGCAGGAGCAGCAGTCCCCAGAGCTGCAACTGCAAGTACTGTTGAGTAGCTGGGGCAGGTGTAGGCCAGGGTGCAAAACAGGGGGAGGAGAGCATTTGTCTTCTCCCAGGTGGGCCAGCCAGTGCGAGACTGTAGCAGGTTCAAGGAATACTACAGTTGAGAATCACTGACCTAAATGGTGCACAGTTTAAAGCAGGGGCATCAAATCATCCAGCTCTAGGGGCCTGGTCTGTGTGCCCAATTAGACCCACAAACTGCCCTACCCATTTGGGCTGGACTGGCCCGAGCCAGCATGCAGGGCCAGTCCAATGCGGCCTAGTAGGCAGCGTGAGCCCCAGATCAGTTGTCTGTGCTGCATGCCAGGTCCAGCCCCATGCACTGAATGCAGCAACATTTGCCAGTCTCAGTTCAGGGCTCTCACTGCACATGGAATCAGCACAGGGTGTGTGCTACAGGAGTACCTGTGCCAGCCCAGCCCTGCATTCTGGCATGGGAAATAGTCTGTGAACCTGACCTGGCCCAAGTGTCAGTGTTCAGGGCTGGTCTGCTGCAGGCAGTGCACCAGACTGGCTCCACGCACCACATGCAGCACACTGGGCTGGGACCAGCATCTGCTATATGCAGTGTGGGGTTGGTCCAAGATTCATGGACTGGATCTGGCTCACAAGCCATATCTTTGGCACCCCTGGTTTAAACATTTCAGTATACTATTTCAGCTGCAAATACAACCAAAGTGTCGTTTCATTGTAATGATCTCAGTTGTTTGTGGAAGACTGCATGGACTGACTTTATTGCCTTTATAATTTCACATCTCAACAGATTTATTACTATAAGATGTGTAAAAATGTTGATCAACAGCAGCTGAGTTTTTAAAAGTACAGTCCTGACTTCCTTACATCAAAACGATATATATGCTGTATTTAATAATAGCTCATCTCCTCCAGACACAGAAACTCAAATTATTTGAAAAAAAGAAAAAAAGACTAAAATTGTGTGCAAAAAAAAACGCCAACAAATTAATATCAGGCAGCTATCAGTTTTGGGCACACCACCTAACTGCACTGAACCTGTATCAATATTCCTCTTCAAACCAAGCTAATATTTATGGGTCTGTGAAGCTGACTCAAAAATTAGGAGCATTTTGACATTTGAGCTGATGTGTTTTCTTATATACAACATGCCTTGGAACATACTTCTGAAAGGCAAAATGAAGAAAAGAAGATCTTTCCTTATAATAAGGAATGGAGTAACAGCGACTAGGGAGCCAAGAGTGGTCACTGTTCTACTCCATGGAAAGATGCATTTTATTCTTGGGTTCACCTAGTGACAGAATATGCTCTTATCATACTTCTCACACATAATGTGCACTCCAATTTTCAGCAGTTCTTTTTTGGGAAAGGGGTATATGTTGTGTGCAAGAAAACATAGTATTTCAAAATATTTCCTAATCTTCCTAATCCAAAGAAAAACTGTATACAAGATGCCAGAGGGAGGAGGGTAAATCTCCAGAGAAAAAAGAAAAAACAAGCTTACAGGTTTTTCATGCCATCTTACAAAGACACGTGCCCTTGTAAACAGATTGACTACACATGGTCAGTTCACTACTATATTTCCTGGTCAAAGATGCACAAATAAATATTATATCCACTAATGTACTTGTAGACTTCACTGCTTAGCCATCTAGGGTATCTAAGACTCTGACATAAGGTATGATTCACCACCTTCTTGCTTTGAAAGGGGGAGAAATGTGGTCATGTTAGAGTGCAGTAAGAGATGAATGAGCCCTATTTCTCAACTGTAGTTATGCTTCCAGCAATATCAGCCATGATGTTAAAGCCTTCAAAAGACTACATAATCACAAACAATAAAGAAGAAATATTATAAGGATCATAAAACTACCTGGAACTGCTTTCACTTTGCCATGTAGCCACAGGATCATCCAAGGAGGCATCACTTGTACCAACTGTCTCATCTTCCTGTATTAAAGATAGAAGAGTATTTAGCTTTTCATACTGCAGCAGTAAATACTGTTTAGCAATCACCCAGAAACCTGAGTATTGAAGAAATAAGTGGTCTCTTCAGAGTGACTTTGAAGCCACACAATTTGTCTCACCCTCACAGAACTTCTACTAATAGTTGGAGTTGTTAAGGGCATGTGATTTCACTTATATTAGAGGCATTTAAAAAATCCTGTAACATTCCCTCTACATCTTTTCAAAAGCTGACCCAAAATCCAAAAAGAGAAAGCTGACAAGACTAGAATAAGTCCATGCAAATATGGCAACATAATATATCCAGAGATCTTTGTTTTCTTTTAATAGTCATTTTCCCCCCTCATTTTTACTTACTGCAAGAGACTAGGCTAAGCAGAAGCAAATTAGACTAATTATTGGGTGATACACACAAGCTGTAACGGGTCATGTTACTAAAAGAGACTTATGAAATACCAAGCAAGCAGTTCCTACAACAAATATATGTATACACAATGGCACAAGGAAGGATTTCAGAAGTTAGAACAGAAAAATAATAAGGCTTTTAAAGCATAATACAATTGTATGCATCTCTCACACTTGAAATATCTTGCTATTATTATGTAGTTTGACCACATAATTCATGTAAAACTAATGATTTTTTCTGATCTCAGAGTTATAATTGCTATGGTATGACTTTTTAAGGATCATTTTAGCAATAACTCAGAGGTGGAGAAAGTAGTGAGCATACAGAGTTTGCACAACAGGATTCAGGGCACCTATACATGTGCCAGATGTCTGCTCTCACATGCGCTGGTTAGCACATGATAGAGCAGACTATGAACTGAGTCTGCTGGAGTGTGCTAATTAGCACACTCCAGCAGCCTCCACGTCACAAGAGCTTTAGTTAAGCTGCCATTTTGAAGCTCGGGGATACCGAATACACATGGAGCTGCAGGCGCTTTAATAAGAGCGGCTCTCAGAGCTGCTCTAATTAAAGCGTCTCTCCCCTCCTGTCCCCCTCCTCTGTCCACCCCTGCAGATCATGTGTAAAATTGGCTAAAGTGTTCAGCTCTTCTTTACTTTTTATTTTTTCTTTCTCTTAAGAAGAGGAGGATGTTACTTCATCTGGGATACCTTAAATCCTTCTCTTGCCAATATCAGCCTATTACTCCAAATCACAGTATCTTTGAAAGTTGCTGAACAGATGTTAATAACTAGCATGGGTTCATGTACATCCCCAATACATGTGCAATATGAAAACCTTTAGTTCTGTGAGATCCCAGGAAGAGAAATATAAGAAAACAGAAGTAGCATTCAGGCCAGGTACATTAAACTACAAACACTTCACAATTTTTTAGAGAGTGTCATCCAAGAAACAATCTGTTTTAAATTAGATTTGATTTTTTTTTTATTTTTATATTTCTACCATCTTCAGAACTGTACTGGCACTGAAATAAATGGTTCATCTCCTTCCCAGACCAACTTGTTAAAATAATGGCACAAGTCCTATAGACCACATGAATTCAATGATTTTTCATAAAGGGAAAAACCTGAGTCTTAATGGTAATATTGTTTTGAGAACATCTGTTGTTAGACCACACTATCTATGAACAAGGAACTTCTTGAAAGAATCACTGGGGATTTCAGACCTCAGAGGAGCTTTCTGAGTCTTCCCGCACACGTGCATTCTGGCTTGCTCCTTGCTGATTGTGTTCTATGGTGGAACGTGTTTGGTAGGCATGCTGGCGTTTGCGCTGGTTTCTTCTCAGGGATCGTCCACTGCCAGGCTGATAATCATTCTTGTATACAGGGAAAAATTATTAGATATTTTAGTAGTTAAACATGTAGCTCAAAAGAACACCTTATTAAAAAGGATTGTACACTGTCTGACTTGCAGAAAAATTGGAATTAAGCCATTCTTAATTTACTCTGCTATTGGAACATTTAGCAGGAGGGAAAGGACGGAAGAAATTCCCTCTTGTTTTAAAGAAGCTATTTTACCCTGAAAATTAATCATGTAAAAATACCATCTTCTTGCCAAACTTCTGTTCCCTCTGATATGCCAGAGAATTTCACCATTCTGAGAACTGTGCAGTTCCCTCAGTACTCTTATACAACCCCTTAATTTTACATGTAAAAGTACCACAAATGAAAATGTGTCCATGCATGCCAAATACTATTTGAATGAAGCATATTTTCACCCAGTCTCCCAGTTTCTACACTTTACGGTACCAGTTCAGACATTGAGTTCTGGCATAAAAGCACATTCTGAATATTTCCTTACTAAAATATTCATTGCTTTATTATGAACTTGAAGACGTTCTAAAACTCTAATCCACAGAAGAGCCATAAGACAGACTGCTTTTCACTCATGGAGAGCCACTCTAAAGAAAATTAGGTTCTTTGTGGGTGCAGGAATCCATTCACATGTTGTGGGACCAAGATTTTGGTTAGCAAAGATATTTTCAATTTTTTTAATTTCCTCACTTAAAGCACATCCACCCTCCCACCACAAAGGATGTTTTATAGAGTTACTAACAAATTATACTGCAACATGTACCAAATTAAGAATGGAATAACAATTAGCAAAATTGGAGCTCTTAAGTACCATAAACTCTATTATTTTTAAGGCCCTCTTTACACATTATGTGTATTACACAATTATCTGATTAATTGCACAGTTACTTTAGACTGGATACCTGCAAATTAACTATGGCACCTTAAAAATGTCCAACCAGTTATAAAATTATTGCTGGAAAATGTGTAACACTTTTATTGACGATTTCTATCCAGCTTTAATTTGCACATGTAGCCAGTGCCACCTTGGCTAGGAGCCCCATCAGGTGACTGAAGCTGCAGCTGCAGGGCCCATATGCACTCACAAGCCTGGAAGCTCTCAGTTGATGCTGCCCGCCAGGCAGAAAGCACATACCCCCACAGCTGGGAGCCCCATCAGCTGACAAGGTTCCCAGCCAGGGGGTGCTCCACGTTCCCAGTAGCTGGGAGACTGAAGCTGCTATGATCACCCAGCTCACCGGGTGTCTGGGACACCCCCTTGCCTGGGAGATCACATCAGCTGCAGTCTCCCAGCCACAGGAGTGCATATGGCACCCCTGTGACTGGGAGCCCTGTCAGCTGAAAGAGTTCCCAGCCATAGGAACTTGCTTCTTGCCAGCGCAAGGGGAGCCCAGGATCAGGCACCAGCAATAAGGTGTGATGGGACCCAATTCATGATCCTACAATCATAGCTCCTGCCATGCCACACCAATTGTGTGGATCATGCATGAGATCCCATCGTGCCTTTACCTGCATGTGTAGAGGGGCCCTAGCACATCTAGCAAAATTGCCTTGGGATTCTGTCTAGTGCTAAACCTGTTCTCTATGCTTATGCTTCCGCTTCTAGAGAAATTTACATACCCTTTGTGAGGTGTGAGATGGCTTTCTCTTCTTTTCAACACTGTACAGACCAATTTCTTTTTCACCTTTGGCAGCTCGGCATTCTTCCTGAACCCTAAGTGCACACAGGAAACAAACATTAATTTTATTTGCACCAAACAGATTGACAGTCTAGTTACTGCATGTTAGAATGCTTTTTGCTTACTTGCCAAATACGTCTACATCCTACTAATGGTACTCAGATACCACTTCTATTTTTTATTAGTGAAAAACCTTGTCTGGCATCATTTTGTCTCAAAGGAAGGGCAAGCTGCATAATCAACTATGCTTTGTTAATGGAATTGAGAAATTATGATAAAAATAAAATATGTTTTGTGGAGGGGAGGGAGAATACCTGCCTGACCCCCCACAAAATGTTAGAGCCTTTCAGGAAAAGAAAAAAATCTAAATACAACTGGCTACAATATGGGAAGAGAGAGAGATCTGAACTGGCATGGGAGAATTTAACTATTTTTGCAAAACAGAATGTAATCCTAATCTTAATATCTGAAAAAATTGAGAAACCAACTCCTAAAAAATGTAAATAATTGCAGTAATCACCTAAATGCCACAGGATTTATTTTTCTTTTCCCAAGAATGCTGGGCAATACAGGGAACATTAGCATTAACACTAATCTTAACTGGATGATAAAGAGGTACTGTTTATTAGTTTCACTGTGATGTTTGTATAGTTGATTCCAAATGAATAGCAGCTAACAAATGCATACGGAACAAAGAAAAAATAAATGGCGTGTTCTCATGCCTGTACTGCAAAGTTGATTCCCACTGAAATTCAGCACTTTTGGCTTTATTTTACCTGCTAACCCCTGCAGGCAGCTCATTCACCACCACTCTCCTGCTCCACGCCATGAGATCTCTCTCTGTGGCCATCTGACTTCGAGGAGCATTATGATGCATTTGCCGGACTCCCTCAATCTGACCACTCCGTCTGAGACCAACATTTGGTGGAGATGCTACATCCAAACTAGGACTTCTGAGAGCTAAAACAGAAAAATAAACAGTTTCCCTCTATTTCCATAACTATTTAAATAAAACCTAGAATTCAAAATTCACAGCTGGGCAGAATGTTCCCTCTCAGCCCTCTGCAAAGGGCACAACATCATTGAATTATCCCAGGAATGAGCAGTCAGTTCTTTCGATCAATTACTGATGAACTGAAAGCGAACACCAGACTAGAAATGGCCTCTTACAATGGAGTCCAATCCTCTACTACCACAGACAACCAAATCACATAGGATTATTTCCTTAAAAAAGAAAAAAAAAAAAAAACAGCCACATTTTTCCATTAGGTGAGAAATTTTTTTGTCCTGATATGGGCATCATTGGGGGTGAGCTCTAAGAACACCTATTTATTAAGTTTGTGCAAAGCTTCAGTCGCTGATTCGATTTGGCGGAGATTCAGCAGCCAAATCTCCAAATCTGAATCAAATCATGAGACCCTTTAATCTCTCCGAATCGAATCAGAATCCTGCGAATTGATTCGGAGAGATTTGATGATTCGGACGTAGACACAGCTTTATATGTTTTTTCTATGTACCTCAAGGTACCAGGTGGCTCGTGATCTCTGAGATGGTGGGGCAGATGGAGTGTCCCACAGGAGCACGGGGGTGTCCCCAGCTCACTCAGTGGGGGACCCCCCCCGTCCCCTGGCTTGGTGACTAGTGCCTCCTGGGTCTGGGGATACCTGGGGTCCCCCTGCAGCCACTCACCAAGCCGAAGGAGTACAGAGTGGGGTCCCCCGTGTGCTTGGCCACAGACCTAGAAGTGGACCAGAAGTACTTCTATCTTAATGTCAACATAACAGTATATAAGTAGATAATATCAGTGGAATTGTGACAGACTAATGGTTTCTTTCTACAGCTAAATGACAAGGTTGAATATCAGTGTTTTATAAATAAATGTAGCTACTGCCAAGTGTGGGGCAGATGAGGGCAATGGGGATCATTGCCCCATCCCCGCCTGGCACCTGCACAGCAGCTATTATACTGTGCAGATGCAGCATGGCTTGGCAGGGCATCATGCACTGTCTGGGAGCTGGGGTGGCTCCACAGTCAGCTGAAGGGAGCCTGGCACAACTCAGCCCCAGAGCCCTCAGCTCCCAGGCAGCATGCAGCGCCCTGCTGAGCTGCACTGCCCCATGCCATGGGGCAGCTGTCACACAGGTGCCAAGCAGGGAAAAGGCAATCCCCACTGCCCCCCATTGCTCAGCACTGCACAGGGTGGGGGGACTCTGCCACAAGCGCCCAGAGGCCCCAATCACCGCTCCTGCAGTCAGTGAGTATGGGGCTTTTTTTTTTTTTTTTTTTTTTTTTTTAAGTGCCAGGACTAGGTTGGGGTCAGGCAGGGGATGGGGCCAGGCAGGGCAGCCATGGGGTCTTCTCCCACGGCTCCCCTCACTCAGAGAGAGGCAGGCACAGCCAGAGGAGCTGAAGGAAGACCTGCAGCCGTCCAGCTGTGCCTGCCTCTCCCCAGCCAATCCGAATCACCAAATCTCTGAATCAGTGCTGAATCTTCCGAAGCTGATTCAGCTGAATCAATTCAGAATGGTGATCCGAATCTCCGAATTGAATCCATGTCCTCCAAATCAGCCAAATCCGAACCGTAATACTTCCCTATCCGCACAGGCCTATTCACAATGGACCAAGGTTTTTTTTCTTCTTTAAATAAAGCTTGCACTCAGCAAATTTGAAATGCCACAAGGACCAGTGAGATCAAATAGGCTGGGTCCAATATCTAGGCCTTTAGGTTTGGCACCACTGATTTAGATTGAAGTGAAATGAGGTGTTCTTTTCTTTCACCGCTTTTTTTCCTATTGCTTCATCACTGTTGAGGAAAGAGAGGATCCAAATGCATCAATCAGAACTAACCCGTGTCAACAAGAGACTGATTACTTGCATTTAAATTATCAGTAATTTACCTAAAAAGAGCTCATTAACAAATGTAAACTTTTTAAGAGTTTCTCATATGAATAAAGTGAGTTGTGATTGGCTGGCTTACACAACTCCCACATTATCAGTTACACTAAAGTAACTGCACACAGTAAACTGCTTTGTGATCAGCTGCCCGTTTCATAAGGTGGATCAGAAGTCAAGTCAATAGAACAAGTACACCGTGCCAAAGGAATAATCTTGAGCTTTTGTTGTAGGGTGGGGAGGGGGGAACACTAGGGCAAAGCAGACACACATTTATTCATAAAACACTGATGCTCAACCTTGGTATTTACTGTAGAAAGAAACCATTAGTCTGTCACAATTCCACTGATATTATCTACTTATATACTGTTATGTTGACATTAAGGTAGAAAGCACCATCTCTCTTCAGTGAACAAATGACAGTTAGGCAATAATATGATTTTTTTAAACATTTTTAGAAAACATTTTTAATGGAATTAATTACAGTCCAATAATCTTAAGTGTTCAGATGATGTCCAGCTGGACCATCAAGTGTCAACAGTTGCTTCTCATACTTTTAATTCTTCAACTCAGTTACTAACTGAATGCTAAAGTCTTTGAAATAGGTTATTAACACTGGGAAGAGAAAGCAGAATATAGCAAACACAAGACAAGCCCACCACATGTGCGAGTAGTACAGCAGAACCTAGATTCTTTATAACCCTCCAGCGAATCTGAAGGTTTAATGAAATATCTGGGGTTATGCGAGGCCCACACTAAAATAAGTGAGAGGATGCAACAGCAGCACAGGACCACTAAGGTGCTTAGGCTGCTTGCTGTGGCTTTTTTTTTTTTTATAAAGGACCATGCTTCCCCTATCCACTGCAAAAAAGACAGCTGCTATGCTCCCACTGAGTGGAGAACCACTGCCTTTTGAAGCAGAAGCTGTAGCTGACAGTTGAGTGGCTGGTCCTTAATTGGTCAACCTGTTATGAATTACAAATACTGTTATACAGGTTCTACTGTATAGCACAGCAGCCTCAACAGTTTAAAATGTCTGCTGGAAATACGACTGGTGGAGACAAATGGGAAGTACTTACCACCATTAACAGAGTGGGATCTATTAAGCGGAGGATTTGGGACAGTTTCGCCTTCGTTAATTAGTCTCAGATCTTGTTCTCTCTGCAGTTCTCTAATCATTCCATCAAGAATACTTTCATCCTGGTCATTGGTTTGCTGCCCAATCACCTGTTCAACTACTTCACCGTCACCTTGGTAAGAAAAAAGGCAAGCAAATGATTAAATTCAATTTCATTAACAACCTATGACTATCTAATTCAGTCCTGTAATACGGTGGTCTTTCTGCTCTGCACTCAATAAGATCAGCAGGTTTTCCTCCGGCTTTCGTTTAAGCAGCAACAACAGAGGGTAAAAGAAACACAGTTACATATATGCACACAATTCAGCATAACTATATAGTCACACTGGCCCTTGTGGTGCTTCCCTGACCACTGACTAATTACTTATTAAAAACCAATTTTAACAATGTAGTGAACTGCAGCCTGAATTGAACCAAAAGGTATCTTGGCTCCTTTGAATATTTCTACACTAGGTGGTAAGAAGATGCCACGAATCAAAATTGTATGAGAACACATAACAGAAACAAGGAAGAGATATTGTTTGACTATCGTCTAGTTCTTAAGTTACAATGTTATTTGGGTAGGAACATTTCTCTTGTCATTTTCTTTCTGTATTCTTTAAAATAAAAAATCTGGTCTCAACTGGAAGACAAAAACCTGAAAACACGCATCTCTGGAATGAAAAAAAAGTGTTTCAGTCTATATCTTACGGAATTGTAAATATTGGGCACATCTACACAAGATGTGTTAATGCACATTAGCTTCATTTAATGCACATTAAAGGTGTGCATCTATACGTGCACACCCTTAATGCACATTAAAAGTGGTGAATTTAGGGTAATTGAGACTAAATTTGATGCAAATGCAAATGCAGGTGCAATTAGTTAAAGCACATTAATGCACATGTAGACACAACCCAGCACAATCTTTAGTACCTGGTCTGCCCAGCCACTAGGGACACATGGCAGGATTGCAGGGACTTCGCATTAACTTTATTGCCAAGTGCCCTAACTTTAATGCCCAGTCCCTGCACATGAAGACACGTACCAAAAATTATTTAATGCACATTAAATTTAGTCACGCT